TCCTAGCATCTACTTCATAGTATAACTCTGGTATTTTAGTATACTCCTGACTTTTTATCTGTTTTTTTACTAAACTTCCAATTCAGATAACCTGTGTAGGACTACAACCAGTCTATCAGTAAATGGGTCAGCCTGATATCCTTTTCCTTTAGTTTATTCTAGTAGTCTAGTTGGTAGTATTTCCAAGACTTTCAACCTGGAGATTCTTGCTCATTTGACTACTATGACTAGGTACTATGACCTTGGTATTCATTTCTCTAGACTAGCTTTTATAGTAGGATCATCAAAGATCCAGCTACCTCTCTACTTGGGTCTTTCTAAATGGACTTTTTGTTACCTAATTTCAACAAATTTATATAGCTACAAGGACTTATCTAGTGTTTGCATCATCTGATTTGTTAGTTTGCATTTCTCTGTGTAATGCCATACTTACACAGATGTCCTATAACCTGCCAGTCATGCTGGTGCAACTGCCATTACAGATATTCTAACCTAATCATTAGTAACAGTTGTCATAATATGAATATTATATAGATGATTATCCAAATTTTCATCATCGATGAGATTTGAACACCTAACCTATCACTTGAGGGGTTGACAACCTGACCACTTCACTAGGTCACCATACCTTTACTATTATTTAGTTTTATTAGCAACTTTAGTTATTTCTTTAATAAGTTATTTTAGAAAAATTGTTATTAATAGCAAATAATCAGCACTAACTTTAATAACACAACAAATAACTAGCACTAACTTTAACAACACAGCATAACTAACACTATATATTGTTAGGTTAGTATTAGAATATGACAGAATTAGAAATTAGATCATGTGTTTTGCTGTGCCTTTTTTATTGTATTATTTATCTTAATTATTAGCCATAAATTTAGTAAAATTTAGTAAAGGTTATATATAATGACAATGATAAACTTTTATTTTAGATAATATTCAAACCTTTATATCAAATAATACATAGTGAATACTATTTTTTACCTTAAAAGAAATGAAACTAATTTTCAAGCAAGCACCAACACCATTTTTATTATGAACAACATTGCTATAATATTTAAAGTAAACACTATCTTGTTATTTTACAGATAAAAAGGATCTTAGATAGAAAAATCATCTTTGAAATAGATTTTATTTTTTAAAAAACCTGTTAAATTAAGGGTAAAAAAGACTCAAAATTTATAAAAAAATTTTTATAGAATACTATTATTTTATAGAAAATCATTTCACAAACATCTCATTTTATAGACAAGTTTATTTTGAAGACAATTAATTTACGGACAGTTCATTTTATAATAATTTATTTTACAGACAGTTCATTTCATAGACAATCTTTAACAGTAAATAACACCTGATCTAATGACCTTTTTAATTACAACACGATTGTCTTGATGGATGAGATTATTACTTTTGTTCAAAAGGGACCAGTAGATCAGGTGTTATTCACTGTAAAGATTGTTTATAAAATAACAGTCCACAAAATAAATTGTCTATAAAAATAAGCTGTTTGTAAATTAATTGCCTTCATGAACTTGTTTATGAATGATTGTCTATGAAATGAGATGTTTTGAATTGATTTTCTATAATAAGATACATTTATAAATCTTGCTATGAAGTGAACTTTGCGAAGAAAAGATGAACGAAATTAGTATTCCAGAAAATTTTTACTGAAAATATATCTCAATACGCTGAAATCTTAAAAAAAAACAAAGATAAATCCAACGAAAAGAGCTATCATGAGATATAGTTAAGAATAATAGATCTCTCAGCACATATGAAAGAATGGGAATTCCATTAAAATCGTCATATAAATATTTTAAACATTTGTCTAGTTGGATCATTTTCATATATAAATAATGCAAAACAGAAATGCAGATAAAGCATAAAACTTTTGTTTCGGAAAGCATATTAACTCACCAAGAAATTCAATTGTATATATTTCTTTTATTTGTATTTTAACATGTGATTCCTTTAATAAGCTAAATCGGACAAAATCAGATCATTTATATGTACTGTAAAATAGCTATAATAAGTTGCGGCATTTTTGCCATAACTTTATTATCAGCAATTCTCCTGCATCATTAATATGTGTACGTATATATAAATGGTTTGATCTATGATCTTTTGACGTCCGAGTTATTTGAGCGTCAAAATTTTAGTTGATTATGCCGAGCTCTAAATCTGCTTATATAGTCTTTTTGAGATAAAAGATGACAATGATTTATCAGATCATGGAGGGGATCATTTAAATAAGGAACGTTAAAGCCAGGTACAAGTTAGGGTTACTTTTTTGATGCAGTTAGGGGTAATTGATTATATAAATATCAATAATACAATTATGCAGTATATAAATCATTATATGAATGTGCCTGACCTCCAGACAAGACAATTAAAGGTCGCTATCATTTAGCAAAGGTTAGTCAGACAATATTGAATGACCCGCTGCGATTAAACTTGATCAAAAAGATGATAACGTTGTAACTTGTCGTAAATAATAATCAATGTTAACTTGCCGTATTAAATGATTAACCATAATGGAATCATTCGAAAAAACTAATAATGACATTTATTGAGGAGCAGAATAGAATAGGTGCAGGAAATACTAATTGTGATCCTGCAAGCTTAGTAGCTTGAATGCTTGAAAATGATTAGTATAATATTATATATGTATATGTATAATAGTGACACTACTAGAATGCACCATAGTTGCTATATCTCTAATAAATCAAGGTCAGGTATACTAAGTAACAATATTCAGAACCCCCAAAAACCTTATGCTAACCTAAATTTGAGCTTTTATATCCGATCTTTAGCTTAGTCTGTAGTTGCACCCTAACCCTAAAAAAAAAAAATAAATGGCTAGTGTTCTAAAACACAATTATGATATATTGTAATCATAGGCTTTGGTCCTTGAAAAATATTTATTTACTGTTTCATATTAAATCGTGAGAGTCGTAAAAAATCTTGTATGCACATACGCACGTACGTATGTATAATACGTACTAGTTACAACAAGTTATGGCATATACAATACAGGTTACAGAATATAAATAAGTTGTGGCATGCGTAACTATATCGATGAATTCGCAAGTTTCGATTTGCCGTATTTTTTAATCGATAAGTTGTAACTAGTTATAATTGAGTTTCGACACGGCACATCCCAATGATTTAAGTTTCACCTGCAAATATTCATAATAGTTATTTAAAATAATCTTGTAAATTTATCTTGTGTGTTACCTTGAAATTTTGTTAGCAAAGTATAAGCGGGGCTCCGGAATCCGACGGGACCTGTTCCTATAAAAAAAAGTGAACATTATCGTTATAAGCAAGGTTTCATACATATTTTGGTTAAAGGTTTTTGGTAAGGTTTTGTACTGTTTACAGCCTCTTTGTTATTTTTTCTTTTGTTTATATTCCACAAATACTGCAAGATTCTATTTTTATTTTCTAAGCAAAAATATCCATATTTTTTATATGAATTTTTAATTAAACATCACGTCAAAAAAAGGCTTTGGACATCAAAAAATGCATAACACTGCATAACGATAAGGGTACCCCTTCCATGCAAGGATACAAAATTAAAATAGAATTTTTGGAGGGGATGCTGTGAATGCAGGTTTTGACTGGTTAATTATTACATGATTAGACACGATCTCAAAGGTAAAACATCTATCATAGTGATACCCGGAATAAAATGGAATATTCATGCTATCGTGCGATTTGATTGATAGTCACGGTATTCACCGTCTCGCCCACTGTTACACGAAGTTCACGTATTTTCATATTATTTTCACGTCAAAGTTAAAGTGATATCGAATTTAAGATTCAGAATGAATATTTTGGTAGCTTGTCGTGAAATAAGTAATCATATCTTAATTCTCTGAATCTAATAGTTTACCCTTTATTTTAAAAACAATCTTTTTAAAAATTTCAGGGCAAATTTGTCAGAGAAAGCGTTTAGAGTAATGAAAACGCTTTCCAATTCGTAACACTTCTATGAACATTTTTTTTGCTAAAAATGAAGGCGCTGATTCTAGGATTACTGGTCAAAATCTCGAATCTTAATTACCGCGTTGTGTGATGTTGGTGACATTGTATAGAGTCCGCAGGTGATTAGTAATAACGATTACTAATCATTCGCGGCGGATTCTCACGACGCGATAATCAAGAATGGAAACTAGTAAAACTGAAATAATGAATACTTTGAATGTGAAATGAATGTGAAAAGTTTAAAAATATTTTTTCTTTATTAATTTATTCTGTAAAATGTTTACTATTGCCGCCCTCGTTAAAATACCCACGCTCCATCAATTTAGTCAAACTAATAATATATTCCAAAAGGATACTAAGGGATGTAAAAAACCCGGGGGTACTATTTGCCGAAAATTACGATATCGATATTATCTATCGCACTGCCAGTTTGGAATTGAATAGTTTATGGCTTAGCGAAGTAAAAGCACGTGAATTCTTATTTTCAATTCTTCTACAAAATACCTTTATCATGCGTAAAATTCTATCGCTTCTCAAAAAAGGATTCAATTAGTTCAAATTTAAATTATTTATAACTCGGGTCCAGCAATTAAATTCACGAATTTCTTTTCCGTGATGACGATTTTGGTGATATACTGTATTTGTCGAAAACAGATAAATATTTAGTTACATTTATTTTAAGAGTTTACTTCTTCAGCCATTATTACTTTTTAAATTTATTATTATCGTTTAATACAGATATACGGATATATTTCATTTGGTTTAAATTCAGCCAATCGCTAAAAAGTCTCAAACCGGATGTTCAGCTCTACCAATAAATCGGTTTTTACAATAGCTAAATATACAATCCGGAACATTTTCTGAATAAATTGTTTAATTACTTAATAATTATATATTTTTTGCTTATTATTAATATGATACAATCGGTCTTTCAATAACAATAATATTTTATGAATATTCACTCAATTCGCTCCTTTAAACTTATATTACAAAAGATAAAAATGACGGCACAACCTCAATTTTCTCGTCCACCACAATTCAATGAACAAGCCCCTTCATCGGTTAAATTGAACAACAAAAATTTAAAGAATGAATTAGCTATAAATTTAGCTGAATCTACTGTGCTATTCCGTGGAAATCCACAAGAAGCTCCCGGTGTTTTTTTAAGAGGTGATCTGATTTTGAATTTAAGCAAACCAACAAATATTAAAGGAATTGAAATGGAATTTGTTGGAAAAACAAAAACCTTTTGGATTTCAGGTATCCATTATCTAAAACATGCATTATTTTTATGCTTGTATTCATTGTACTTTTCGTTCAACTTTTTAATACATCTGTATATATATATATTTGAATAGACAACGTTAAACAGGAACGGAATATTCATTCTGAAAAACGAGAAATCATATCTCATAAATGGCAATTCATGACTCCTCACGTTTACGAATCGTCAATACATGAACATTCCCGCCGCAGTATCCTCGGTATAAACCAATTATCATCTTCGTCTCATGATAATACAAACATGACCCCAGCAGGTATATATACGTTTCCTTTCGAAATTTTACTCTCAGGAAACCTTCCAGAATCTATCGACGCAGATTTAGGTTATGTACAATATCGACTATCTGCACAAGCCCATCGTCCAGGTTTATTACCGAAATTATCAAAAGAAATTGATATTGAGGTTATTCGAGTTTTATCTGATGATATCGATTCGGAAGGTATAGCTTTGTCAAAAGATTATGAAGATATATTGAACTATGAGATTTCAATTCCAAAGAAATCTTATCCTCTTGGACAAGCTATACCAATAGAAATTAAACTGATTCCCTATATTAAAAAATTAAAGATTCATGGATTAACTATTAAGCTTTTAGAAACTACCATTTACAGTGCTCAAAATGAAAATTTCAAATTATCCAAAGTTGTGGCAACACTTGACGTTGAAAATTTAGTTCATAATAATCTATTACAATATGTAGATGATGATGATGATATGGGAGATACAAGTTACCAAAGTAATTTTAATTTCATATTACCTAATTGTAATAATAAGGTTAATTATTCTTGTAATACGCCTTTAATTAATGTGTCGCATATATTGGAGTTCTTTATTATTGTCTCTTTACCAAAAAATAAGACTAAAACAAAATTACGAATTGAATGCGACATTAATCTGATTTCTTGCTTGGCCGCTGGCCAAAATTTTACTTTGCCAAAATATGAAGAAAATTCATTCTTCTGCCCTTGTAATCCTGAATATCAACGAATTGCAAGATTAGTATTAGGTAATACTACAAGTGAAGAGTGTTGCCATAGCAACATAGGTGTAAATGAGAATTCTATATCAATGCCAGCAAAGCATTGTAATTGTGATAATTGTGAAGACAGCTGTAAATGTTTACCTCCAAATTATGATGAAACATAAGTGTAGAGAAGAATAAGATGGGAATCAATTTTTTTATAACACTCTTAAGCCTTAAAGTTTTATTATATGCATTTATGATTTGTTAAGTTTATTTAAGAGCTCTTTTTATTTTCCTTCACAATAAAGTCTATGGAAAATACCGGTATTTATATGCATTTATATATATGGCAATTTTTTTATAATACTTTTAAGCCTTAAAGTTTTTATTATATGCATTTATTTGTTAAGTTTATTTAAGAGCTCTTTTTATTTTACTTCACAATAATGTCTATGGAAATACCGGTATTTATATGCATTTATATATGTGGATTTTTTTTTTTTGAATATTGTCAAAAATCGGTCAAATTATACTTTATGAACTATTTTAAACTAGAGAGCTTTTCTGTGCCAACTGCAGTATCTTAAAAATGAAAATTGCAATTTCATTAAAGTTCTTAAAACTGCGATTATAAAGTTTTTTTTTTTTAAAAAAAAAAAAAATTTGGTTAAGGATATTACGAATGTTTATATTTTAAGGATAACGAATATTTAAGGATATCCCGGATGTTTTGTATTCTCAGGATATCATAAATGTTTATATTGTTTAAGGATATCACGAATGTGAATGTTTTTATTGTTTAAGGATATCACCAATATTTATATTGTTTAAGGATATCACCAATGTTTATATTGTTTTAAGGATATCACCAATGTTTATGCTGAAGGATTCACCCCGTTTTACCGGCAGTTATTTCACCGACTTTTAATTCTAACCAATGTTAACTTTAAATCAGACCAACCATAACTATGGATCGGGCCGAAAAATTATCATTATTAATAATCCTTCAATTCATAGCTCATTCAGCACTAGAGCCAAGATATCTAAGAAGATGTTAGTTCTATTTGGCGTAAGTAGTCTTATAGGCTTAATTCATGTCAGGATTATAGATGCTGGTGAAACTGGTGGCTATCTAAAATCTGATAGACTGCTATATTAAATTTCACCAATTTCACCAGCATCTATAGCCAGGATATGATTTTCGAACGAGTTTATTCATCAGGTTCTTATTTATATTTCTATACTATTTTTTCATGATTATTCGGGCTGATCCAGAATAATTGTACTTTCTTTTCTTTTAAATAACTAAAAAAAAAGGTATAATAAACTTTATAGAATACTAACTTTGATTTTGAAAACAGTATAAAAGTACAATAATATATACATGCCAGGTCTTAATACTTAAGCAGAAGTTTGCTTGCAAATCAACTGTGCGAGTAAATTATTTAATTATACGTTTTTTAAACTTCTAAATTTCATAAATAAAAATCGTTGCGAAAATTATCTATAGCCTTAGAACTACATCAGGAAAATTTAATAGTGATATAACCAATCGGGTCACCCGCGACCAGGGTATCAATTTATTTTGGTATCGACTACATGTAAAAATTAGGCAAGATCGATATTATTTTTCGTCAAGTTTTGTGTAACAATAAGTGAAGTAAATTCTGGGCACCGACCGATGCCGATTCGATAAGGCAGTGACCGTTGTCGGCAAATATTCAGTCGGTCGATTCTTTTGCTAGATGTCCCAGAATTTATGAAAACAGCTATAAGCACCATGGTTTTAGTCGGTTGGCCTAAGCGACTGGCTAATGGCTTACCTTACTGAAGATTTTGGAATTTATCACAATCTTTGCTCTTGTTTCTTCGAAATCTTATAATAGTTGGACCTTTAGCCGCATTATCTAGGGTGCGGAATGGGCCGGGTTTTCCTAGGCCCATATCTTAGTTCGTAAAATATTTGTTAACCCAAGGCTTATTTTAAAAATAAGCCTGGTTCAGCTTAGTCTAGCCTACCAACTAAAGGGTAGAGTGTATATAGATCATTTTTATATAGTTTTTTATGTCACTTTAAAATTTTTATATAAAATTGATATATTTTACTAATAAAATTTTTTTAATTTTTAATTAATTAAGAAAATTTTTTACAATATTATAAATAAAATTATTTATCTATTATAGTAAAATTTTAAACTATTGTATTATTTTAAAAAAATATACTTGTATATATGATAAGGTTTTCTTAGATAATACAAAATTAAAGAATTTGATTGGTTAATTTATGTAAACCTATAAGTTAATTTTATTATATAATTTTATATCTTAATGTTTAAAAATTTATATTTTAATGAATTTTAAGGCTAGGGACAAGTATTTTAAAATTATATATAAACCTAATGGTAATTTTTTTTTATATTTAATTTTATAAAAAATTATTATTAAGTAAACTAATTTTAATCATTAAGTAAAAGTTGTAAAGTAAATCTTTCTGATTTTAATGATAGTAAAATTATTAAAATAGATTAAAAACTTATTGAGATATAAATTTTTAAAGATTAGAATATAAAATTATAGAATAAAATTAACTAATAGGTTTATATAAATTAACTAATTAAATTTTTTGTTTTTTTACTATCTAAGTAAATTTTAATCAATTTAATTAAAATTTATTATTATATAAATATATTTTTTTAAAATAATACAATATTTCAAAATTTTACTATAATAGATAAATAATTTTATTTATAATATTATAAAATTTTTTTATTAATTAATTAAAAATTAAAAAAGTTTTATTAGTAGCATATATAAAATTTAGATAAAAATATAAATATAACTATATAAAAATAATCTACATAACTCTATCCTTAATCAAATTTAATAATTTTGTTATTATTAAATTTAGAAAAATCTATTTTATAACTTTTATTTAATAATTCAAATTAGTTTACTTAATATAATTTTTTATAAAATTAAATATAAAAAAAATTATTATTAAATTTATATATAAATTTAAAATAATATATTCTATCTTAATATATACCATCAAATAATAAGATAGTAGAAAAAAACATTCAACAAAAAATTATAGAAACAATTTTAAAGAGAAAGAGACAAACACAAATTATCATAATAGATAATTTTAATAATACAGTAGACAATATTCTAGACAGACAACATTCACAAACAACAAACTACAAAAGGCTGTCAATCTTCAATTGAATAAAGAAACAAAACTTTAGAGACACATATAGAGACATAAACCCAATAGGTCAACAAGACACATAGTCAAATAGAGAAGCAGCAACAAAAATTGATTATATATAGATATCATATAGACTAGTCTCAGATTTACAAAAGACAGAAATCAAAAAGGTAGAAGAAATCACAAAGAGTGATCACAAAATAGTAATAGCAAAAATATGGATCAAACATATAATAGCAGTTAAAAGCAAAGCAAAAATTAAAAAAGAAGACAGTCAAGAACAATATACTTATATGATCAAACAAAATTAGAAGATTGGGAAATTATATAAAAGAGCTATAAAATCAGTTAGAAATAAAGAAGGTTTTAAAAGATATTTGCAAGAACAAAATGAGAAGAAAAAAGCAGAGAAGATAAACAGAATATAGGATATAATAGAAGAAACTATTATTACAGCAGCAAGTAAACACATACCCAAGAAAAAAGTATTTAACATAATAACTAATAGAAAAAGAAGTCAAAAAAAACAATAATAAAAAGAAAGCATAGTCAAGTTACAGAAATTAATCAAGCATGCAAAAACAAAAAAAACACAAGCAGTAACAAAAGAAAAAAGAAGTGAGATAAATAAACAATTAAAGATACTAGATAAAAAAATCAGTACAACATTACTAAAACTACAAAGATAATGGTCAAATTATATATAGAAGATATAAAGAGTTGGAAAAAGTTACTATTGCAAAGAAAAAAAGAAGAACTAGAAATGAATACAGAGAAAACAAATAGAAGAGAATATAGATAAAAGATGTAAAATGATCAGAACAGATCAAAGAAAGATGATAGCAAGTCTCTTGAATAGATCTTATAAGAAAATAATATTCGACAGGTTTATTAAACAAACAGAAGAAAAAACAAATCTACTAACAAGTCTAGAAGATGTCAGAGTAGGAGTAGCAGAACACTATAAAAAACAATTTAGAAAAAGAAATATAAGATTAGAAGAGATGTCAAAAGAATGAAAAGAAATATATAAACCACAAAGAGACATTAAAGAGGAATGATATACAGAAGTTGAAAGAGAAATTGAGAAAAAAGAATAGAAAGAAACATTAAAAGAACTGAAGATAAGAACAGCTTCAAACATATTAGGTATAAGTTACATATTTATAAAGTGAGCAAGAAAGAAAATACAAGAAGTATTTAAGGCTTTGCAGACCTATATCTAGAAGAAGAAAAGATACCAATAAAATAAAAGATAATACAAGTTTACCTAATACCTAAAGATATAAAGTGAAGATATAGTTTAAACAACATATGACCAATAGCATTAATAGAAATATTTAAAAAAGTTGTAACAAAGATGGTAACAAGAAGGCTTGTCAAAGTGTTTACAAAAAAAGAAATACTCAAAGAACCAAATTACGCAGGCCTTTTAGACAACTCAACAGAACAATTAGTACATATTCTTAACATGATAATAAAAAAAGCAAAAAAGAAGAGTAAAGAAGTATAGATACTTCTGCAAGACATAAAAAAAGCATTTAACTCAGTTCTATTTGAGAGTCTAGAACTAGTACTACAAATAGTTAAATGCCTAAAAACACAATAAAATACATCCTAGATCTGTTTTATGAAAGACAACTAAAAATTATTATAGCTTATAGTCTAACAAAAGAGATAATAGCAGAAGATGGTATAGATTAAGAAGAAGTAATATCTTCATTAATATAGTGACTTTTATAATCTACTGTTAGAAAGAATACAAGAAAATAAAAATTTAGAATATATAGTAGAACAACAGATCAAAAGAGAAATACAATGTAGCAACATCACAAAGTACTGCCAAGCAGCCATTGTATATGCAGATGACACAACATGGATTGCAAATAGTAAAAAACAGCTAATAGAAATATTAAAAATAGCAAAAGAATTTTTCAAGATAAATGACATAAAGATAAATAAATTCAAATTAAA